CCCCTACCTCCGCCCCCGTATCCGCCCCCACGGCCAGTGCACCAGCACCCACCAGTAGCGCTGCATCCGTCACTAACTATACTTCCACAACATTCAATGATAATCTGTAAGTCATTTCACTGTATTTTATATTTATTTCTAGAATTCGCGTTCTTTAAACTTGTAAAAAAGAAAAAAATGTATAAACCTTCTATAACGTGTTGCTACAGTAGCGGTAGCGGCACTATGCGCAGCTGCAGCTCTGCGGGCGGCGACAGTGTGGGCGGGGCGTCGCGCGAGCTGGATGCTGCGGTGCCGCGCGGCGTGCTGCTCGACACCTCGGCGCACCGCGCACGCACCGACCTCGCCAGGCATCGCCCACACGCCCCGCACTCCCCGCACTCGCTCAGCAATGCCAGCTCGGTACTACTACTTTTATCCCTTTTATTACTCTTTAAACGGTTTTCATACAATATGTTTTTAAATAAATAAACTTTGTTTTTATTTTCAGTACGATGGCCTGGACGATTCTTACAATGATTCAGCCGATGAGTCGCTAAGCGAATCCACTTCAGGACCGCCGCATTCCAATGTTACGGTAAGTCAAATACAAAACATACTATCTCTCTTTTTTTTTCAAAAAAAATGAGCAAGATAGCAATACGCTTTTGTTCGTGTGTTTCGATAGTTAACAGAAAACGATATATTGTTATTTTACTTGTACTAGCGGGACACGCGGCAGAGTTGCGGCAGTTCTATCGGCAGTGCGACGGACGACGCGGTGTACTCGCGCGACCACCGCCATCACCCGCTCTCAGGTAACGCCCCCTCATATTTCATATCACGCCCACAACTATTATACACGCAATGTTCTTCAGCTTCAGCATTCTGTGTTACATTAACGCGTTGTAAATCTTATTTACAATATATTTTCTAGGAAAATACGTAGTAATATTTTTAACTTCTTTTTAAGTTATTTTGAAGTATAATAAGATAAAAGTAAAAAGTAACTTAAACATTTTCTCGATCTGATCTAGATATACGTAATTTAATGTTATTTTTCATATATATAGATCTATTATTATTGATAATATCGAATATATTGTAAGTAAGATTTACACGCACGGTAATTATTTGTGATTAATATTGCTTTATGTAACTGATACGTCACGCACAGTGCTTTACAGAGTTGTTATACAAGCTGATTATATATTATTCAAAAATAGCGGGTTTCATCACATCATATTATATGCGAGGGCTTTATAAATTTTGGGATTGCATTAAATAGGAAAATAGATATGCATATTTATATTTAAATAAAACAACAATTTCAAACATATACATTAACAGGGCACGTCTTTTATAGACTTTTATCTCGACCCTTACTTTTATTATATAACCGAGAAAGACGTCGCGATATACCTATATTTTATATATGCAGTAGTGTTTACTCAATACTAGGATATAGATGACAGCCAAAAATTTGGAAGTAGGAGAATGTAGAAATATAATATTTATAAGAACAAGGTCCATATAAGTCCGAATAAGATAGGTAATAGCGAGTAAAGCAGCAAGCGAAGGACGTAGATGTGAGGTAGTTGAGTGGTACGCTACGGTTAGGTCCGCCGGCGTCGCTGGCCGAGCAACTGAAGCAAGTGCTGGCGGAGCGCGAGCGGCGGCTGGCGGGCGCGCCCGAGCCGCACGCCGCGCACCCCGGACACGCCCCCCACGCGGGACACGCCCCTCTCGCCGGACACGCCCCCCTCACCTCGCCACACCCCGACCCCGTGCAGCTCACCAACGAGCTCGTCGACGAGATACGACAGGCCGTCAGCGAAGCCAACGCACGAGGTTTGTATTATACCTACGAATAGCGTTATTACTATCATAGTAATCACTTTTGAACCGGGTTATGTTGTACTTTCTTTTTAATTTCAATCGTAAACATGTCCTATTACACATGACCTTTTTACTTTTGTAGACAATATGAATTAGACATTATAGTACGAACGGTGGATAGAAATTTCAAATTCATTTAGAAATGTGGTTTATCAGTGCCACTAATAATAATAATTTATTTTAGATTTTAATTTCGATCACAGTCGATATTACTTCCTATTTTTTAATGCTTTTAAGTTTTAGTGTAGTTTGCTTTTTATTTGGGTGGTGGATACCATTTTGTTTTTTTATGTATGTTTGTAGTATTTTAGATGTTTTGTTTGTGTTTTTTATTCTTTTGAGTACACTTTAATAACCCTAATACCTAGCAGATTTAATTATTTTATAAATATGTATCTGTGTGACTAGATTTATGTTTATATAATAAAACACCCGTTTTCACTTGCAAAAAAATTATAGATAGATATTTCGACATTGGCTGCGGAATGACAGGAAATTCTTTTTTTTATGACAAATTAACCTATTTCTTAATTATATTATATTATTATTTTACAATATTAGTGATGTTGCTTATTTAAATTAAATTAATTATATCGTTAAATAAAAAGATCCAATAAAATTAATGACAAGTTAGCAATGTTTTGTTTTTTTTTTCTATTTGTTATTATGGTAACGAATTACATGTTACGCACAGATAATATAATTTAATATTAAATGATAAATTGTGATATGGTTTAAAATATTGTTTAGTCTTCCGCTGCCAATGTGTAGGAATTTACAGGTCTCAGTATACACTAGCGCCCTTCACATTTTTAATACATCTAATTGTTAATAGGTGAATAAATAAAAAAAATGTGTAAGATATTAGAGGAAGTGTAAATATAACCGTGTTAGCAAATAACGGGGACACGAACTGTTACCACCCGATGTGCTAATGTCAATAAAACTTTTTAATTATTTCTTAATTTGCTCGATAAATTTGAATCTTCGAATTGTAGTCAGTAAACAAGGGAGTGGGGTGTATTACTTGGCCTATTGTACCCTTATGGTAAAATACAAGAGTGGGTGTAAGAAGGGCGCTAAGAGGTGTATGCCGGGTACCGAGATGAGTGGAGGAGTGGCGGCGAGTGAAGGCTGCGGGTGTGGTTGTAGTGAAGAAAGCTCCGGCTTGTGTAGTCGGCGGCGAGGTGCCGTGGCAGCCGCTGTCCGCCGCCGCATCCGAGGCCAGCCTGTCGCCGCCGCCCGCCGCGCTCGCCACGCAGCCCGTCACGCAGTGGACCAAGCAACAGGTAACAACTACCATATGCCTATCCCAAGTACTCCGAGTCAAACCCTAAATGGACTGATATAAGCCATCATCTCCTTTAAACGTTTTGCAGCATAGACCGTTTATCGTAATAGAATAATGCACAAATTACACACAAGGAGTGTAAAGACTTAAGTAAGCCACATTAACAGATAAATGATAACGGTAATATTTAATGATTAGGTATGGCAGTGGGTATCGGGGCTGGGTGAAGGCCTGGAGCGACACGCGGGTGCATTTGCGTCGCGTGGAGTCGACGGAGCCCTGCTGCTGGCGCTGAGTTCCGCAGACCTCAAGCTGTTGGGTCTGGGCGGCGACCAACGCAGGCGCATGAAGCGCCGCCTCAAGGAGCTGCGCTCCGCACACGAGAAACATCTCAAAGCGCTCAAGAAGGCAGAAAAGAAGGCCAAGAAAAAATAGACACGCTAATACCAACGACTGTTAATGTACTAAACGTATTATAAGAACTTGAAGTACGTCAGATATGAAAATACGAACTATCCAGTTAAGTTAATGTGGTACTGTTGAACGGAAACGATGACTTTTGCTCACTAGTAATCAAAATTTTGCGATTTTCATAATTTAAAGTCTATATAAGGCTCTAGTACTTATATATATTTGAAAAGTACTAATTAATCGTAATTTTCGTGAATTTTAAAAAATATAATTCCCCGATTAGTGAAGCTTAGAGTTCCGAATTACCACAAAATTTACTTAAGCGCTAGTACGCACCAAAGATCCAGTTTGCACAGACGTGAATGTGAACCGTTTTAGATTTTAGTAAATTATCTATCGCATGATGGACGCTTTCGGACTCTTTAGGTCTATATAATCACTAATAAATGTATGTGATTGTATGTCTAAATGTTTCTACTTACTACTACTTAGGAATTTTTCTTTATAAAAATAATAAGCGAAGTAAAAATTATTGGAATTGGATCTTTAGACAGTAATGTATTAAAATTGTGTGGAATTACATTGTAACTTCACTTTGAATAACATTATTGTTAGTTTACGTTAATGACCAATAAGACAATAGAATTTCAGCAAAAGGATTTCTTTTATATAAACACAGTGAAAGATTATATTTCTTGTAAAATATATTTCTTGCCAATTTATTGTAAAGACGTAGACTTTTTACTCTAAAACTTACGAAAATTAATATTAAATAAAATTTAAATTCAGTTGTGCTGTCTGTGTCTATTGATTTCTATGTTTGAGCTCGTGTCTATTACATTTTAATTGTTTATGGTCATCTCATTGGGTCTATGTGAGGTACCAAAAAACTATATTAATCTAGAGATTACTTGATTTCAATAATAAATCGTACCTGTAACAATGGAAGCTTTATGCTTATATTGAATTAGATTAGACAAAGACTTCTTTTTATAACATTATGAACTTTTTATAACTCTGATTCTGTCTGAATTATAAACTATTTTGATATTTTACTATCATATCAATTATGTGTGTTTACCCTAAAAGTGTCCGTGACTGAAGGTAACGTTGGCAGTAAAGCTTTGTCTGATAGAGTGCCATCTGACTTGTAGCTTAGAGTTTAGTGACGTTAGTGCCGCTTCGAACGATTAAACGAAATACGTTGAACGAAATTTAATAAATTATCATATAAGTGATTGGAAGTGAACAATGGTTTGTCGATACGATACGGTGCGCACTGCGCGTGCGCCGACACGCCAAACTGCGTATACAATGCTTGTTCCTACATTTCGTATTTATTGTGTCAGTTTTTTCTTCGAGATTATTGAGATAATTGACTGTTTGAAAAATACTGGCTCAATCTAGTCATAAGATCAATATGTAAGCTGAAATTTATTGACTTACTATATAGCATTTTTTGTCTTAAATACTTTGAAACGATAAGATTATACTATATATTTATGTAACGTAATAGTTATTCACTATATGTGATCGCATATTATAGATCTATAGTCGAAATTTAGTAATTTTCGCATTTATTTATCAGTTGTATTGCACAAAACGTACTTAGTAAATACTATGAACAACCAGTTGCTGGTTAAACTAATATATGTAATAAAGAACATACATAAAGCATGTGATCTCATCATAAGTGTACCGGAATGTGAATATAATTTACCCTCTCGCGCAGTGTTAGAAATAGACCTAATGATCACCTACAACTCTGTTTTAACATTCCAGTAACAACGCTCTCGGATAATCTGTGTGTGTGATTTTTTTTTGATGATTTAGACAAGCTTTTATAGTTTCATTAGGCGAATACATAAATTTATCTAAGTGTTATTCTGTGCATCTGTGTGTTTGGTTCAGTAGCTAATTACAGTGTAAATATAGTCTCGAAGTTAACACGACGAGGGACAAAATACAAGTGTGCTAGATTTCAATGTACGACAGAATGTGCGATGTGCATTTAGGAATATTTATTTCAATTAAGATTTAATATAAATGTAAGTAGGAAGTCCATTAACAATTGCCAAAATCGACGAGTACTTTTAACATTGTTGATTTTTTTTAATTCTTTTTTTCCCTTAAATTATTTAATATTTATTTTGGGACCAAATTAATTTATTATGAACTTACATCTTTTATTTATGTATTTTTGGTGTGTTCAGTTTAAAGATTTTTATTTTATAAATAAATAAAGAAACCAAAGTGTAAACAGCGTAGTTTTTCCTTTCCATAAAATGTTTAATGTTATTATTTACGTTTTGTGAGGTGATAAAAATATAATCTACAGTCGTGAGCCGAGTTTTTTTCTTATAATACAATATTATAAGTAAACCTGTCTTAACAATTTATACTTCCATTAATTTCTTTCAATCTCAGAGGCTGAAATAGTATAGCTTATTATTTTTTTTGTACCACAACAATTTTTAAGTTTAATACCATATTTTACTCGACTTGTAAGGTGAGTTAGCAGTGGCACAGATACAAGTTATAAATAGTAGTTAATCCTATCTCAGCATTCTATTATGATTTTTTTTATGTCTCTAAAGACTACTACTAAAATTCACATCATAAATGAAAAAAATAATTTGCAGGATTTCCTGACAGATATCGGGAAAGGTAAAACTTATTAAAAGCTTGAAACAACATTTCTATAATCTGATATTATAAATAATAATGAGGATTTAATCATAAAAATACAATTCATGATATTTATCCAGTTTTATTTTTCGGTTTCTTATTACGTTTTCTCTTCTTTGATTTTTTTGCAGATGGTGCGATATCTTCATTTTGGTTATCGTCCCCATAGGATATAGTCACAAATGCACCTGGTTTTCTTTTCATTGGTGGTTTTTCTTCAACACATTCAGAATTGTCACTATCACTAGCATTTTTTACTGCATCTTCCATTTCATTTTCGTGGTCTGACTCTTCCTTTTTAACAAGATGGTTTTGTTTGTTCAATGTTATACAAGTAACCCGACAGGAGGCATTGTTTGTACATATTTCTTGTAATTTTTCATCTTTGACAGTCCAAGCTTTCATCTCTCCCGAGCTTGATGCTGAGTACAGAATGTTATTCTCATAGTATAAACATTTGACTCTTTGCTTGTGCCCTTGATATGTTAGGGCTTTACTGTCAGCTACATTCAATGTTATAATGTTTCCATTCTCTAAACCTACAAAAATTCTTTCATCATTAATCCATTGTACTGATGTTGGTTTTGAATTGCAAGATATTCTTTTCTCAATGCCAGCTTTGCTAATAGTCCAAACATCAAGGGTCTGTAGGGACAGTAATGAAAATCTATCACCACCAGGAGAAAACTTGATTTCTGTAGGCAATGTTAATCCTTTACTAGAGAGGTTAATGGTAAAAGCTGGCCTCCCTTTGACTAAGTTCCATGTTCTTAGTGTTTTGTCACCTCCAATACTTAATGCCAATTTGTCAGAAGGATGAACTGCTATAGCAGTGACTGGTTCACCTAAATTAGATAATTATTTAGTTACACAATACATTTTAAAAAAGATTTATGATGTATAAATATATGTTAGAACATTTACCTCCATGTGCTTTTTTCCAAACCTTTTCAATCTGCCAATTCCCAGTCCGGGTGACAATGATTGAGCCATCATCACTGCCAGTCAATAAATGTGTGCCGCCGTTAGTGAAGGCGACGGCATTGATTGTTCCATCGTGGTTCATAAGGACTGTATGTTCCTTACGAGTTTTTAAATCTATCACAACAACCTTATCATCTGTGCCTCCTGAAGCGAGAAATTTTCCAGCAATCGCAACACATCGCACTGATGCAGTATGGGAATGGGTTGCAAAAGTCTGTTTTAGTCGTGTAACCTAGAAAAAGATACATACAAAATTAGCTCTTGAAATATGGTAGAATCGTGAGCGATCTTGATTCAGACTACACTTACGTTGTCTTCTGAGCGTAATGAGTATCCGAGTAAAAATCCTTCGTAAGTTCCTATTACTAACTCGTCCATTGTAAAAGAGTTATTATACGGTATTTATAACTGTACTTTATTTGAAGCTTAAAATAATAACATAACCTTATTTCCACCTTGCTCACGAAACGTCACTTCAACATGTAATCTGACAAGTTAATGTCAATGTCAATTGCAATAGTTCTATTTTTTTGACGTTAAAGGGCAAATCAAAGAGTATAATAAGTATACTATAGAAAGAGCAAATAACTTATTACAAGTTTTTACCTTTTGGCAAACCGGTCAGCCTAGAGGATTAGAGGATAAATTGATCGATGTTTACTGTCTCAAGGTCCTTAAAAAGTTTAAATAAAAGTATTTACATTGCTTCCAAATATTTTGCTTGTTAAAAATGTATAAATATTAAAATAGAAAGAAGTAATTTTGTTTAAAGAAAAAACATCTTTGTGTTCTGGCAACATTGATTGACAGTGTCAAAAAAAGAAAGAAGCTTCCGTAACAGTTTTAGACATTTTTCATAAATATTGCAAATGAATATCTTGTAAGATTGTAATAAATATTTTGTTTAAAGATTGCTTGCACGAAGATATTATCATTCTGGTAAGCACTTAATTTTTAAGACCAGGGTTCCAATGTTGTGTACAAGAACGTGTATCACTATTGATTTGGATTGTAACATTATAATTCATTTTCTCATAGGATTCCCAAAAGAGGACTTATTTAGACATCTACAAGATGGATTTGGCGGAGACAATGAAGAATGTGTTAGCAAAAAGCACTGGCAGTGCTAGTAGTGCGGCGAGCTCTTCCGGAGCCGCAACGCCGCACGGTGCAGAGGGATACGTCACTGAGAAGCTATACATGCTTCTTCAATTATACTTGCAAAATAAAGGCTGGAGTCCCAGTATAGAGCTGTTGCAATGTTTCAGTGACCTAAAAGAATCTTCGATGTTGCCCAGTGCTGCTTATTTACAGTAAAATTTTTTATTTCTTTTCTTGAATAATAAAAATATAAAATTGTCTTAAGACTTAAAACAACTTTAACCTTTTGATGTCTGATAAAATTATAAATGCAACTGACTTAAGTAATTTAATTCTGTGAAAATCCAAATCCGAATTTTCAGAATGATGGCATCTAGAGTTGGATTAGACACACAAGGAAGACTGATACTGCGTGAAAATGGGAAAATAATTTTACCATATGAACATTTTGCTAATGCGGTTATGTTGAAGCATATGAATGGCCCACATGGGTTACATTTAGGTTTGGAAGCCACAGTCAGGGCGGTGAGTGATATACTTCTGTGCATTTACAAATTATTTACTAGTTGTGTGAATTTTAATAATCACAGTAACTAAAATAAATATACAAATCCTTTTCCATAGACCTATTTTTATAATCCAATAAGTCTATAGAATTTTATTTGTTATTATTCAATTCCATAAATTTCTTTAGTCAGTGTATTTTCTTAAACGTTGCTAGAAAATGTATTTATATTTTTTAGGTTGTTGAATCATACACAATAGGAAGAGAACAATTTGGTATGGAAAAAGAATTTATAATAGAGGTGGTTCAGAATTGTCCGAACCCTGCATGTAGGTTTTACAAGAATCAACTGGAGATGTCACAAAAATCAATTCATTTATCTCAGCAGCCAACATATATTCCAGGTAATAAATATGACTAGACATAAGTTTATAAGTAATTAATATTTTCTGCAGTTTCTTATAAGTACACTGGATATTTTCTTTACAGGTTGCTAGATATAATATTAAAATTTGAAATATTGATATATAATTGTAACATTATGTGCGGTGCCTTCTTGGTGGTTAACAATTTATCTCCTACCTTTTTTTGCATGAATTAATTTTCCTCGGGTGCTTCTCAAAGTGTCTGAATCTGGGTATACAAAGTTTATTTTCTGAGACATATAAATGATGATTTGATTTCATCAGAATATAAACAAAACAATCGTACATAATCTTTTAAATCTTAATCTATTAGCTTCAACTGGTTATTTTTGACTACAAAGATAGTATATTTACGTCAAATTGAATAATTATGTGATAATATTGTGTGGTGATTGGGTTTGGGCGTAGACGCGGGCAGTTCGAGCCTGTCCGACAGCCAGGCGGTGGAGCGGCTGCTGCGCGGCTCGCTGCCACAGGACTACCAGCTGCCGTTGGCGCCGCACATTGCCGCTCTCAGTGAGTTACACTACATAACCACGCCACACAAGGGCGCCGCCAACCGATGACCAAGAGCTACTACTATTCCTTAATTCAGAACTGACAACTAGTTTTTGAATTTTCTATGTAGGGATAGTAGGCATTTTTGTAGTTTGTAAACACATTTGTTCAATTTTTTTGGGGCAGAGAGAACTTCCTATTCCTGCCTGGCGACGCCTTTAATGCCACACAGATGTATATTACCTAAGTGTTGTGTTGTTGTTAGATAGATAGTATGCGACATGACTAAATATGTTGACAAATTATTCATCTGTAAATTTTAACAGCATGCCAATATCTGTTTTTCTTTCACTTGCTTGCGATTTTGACTTATTCCATATACAAATATATGTCTCTTATGTCTTCTTCTATTTTTAACTAATGAATAGTTCATCAAAATTGTCTGCATGCTGTATTATTTGTATAACTAATAAGCACATAATATAATATTTGCACAATTGGTTTCTGTGATTCAAACATACTTTTCAATTGATTTTATTGCTTTAAGCAAGCATTTTTATTTTTCAATCATCCATGCAACATTTAAAGACAAAATATACTTTTTTATTTATTAATTATTTCAAGGTTATTCAATTACATAGTCCTAGTTAATGCTTGGTAGATTTGTTGTCTTCAAAAATGAACTTCATAAATAGAGCGTGTTTCCAGGTGGTCTGACAGGGGAGAAGGCAGAGCGGCGGTCGCAGGAGAAGCTGTCGCAGCATCAGCAGCTGCTGCTGCACCAGGGCCGCTCGCTGCACGCAGACAAGTACAGCCACACGCAGCGCTCCTCCGCCTCCTCCCAGTCCAGCCTCGACACCAAGTCCAAACATCATTACTCCGATGAACATAAACTGACAGATTTCTTGAGGTAAGTGTTGGTCTTCAGTTAACAAAATAGCCATTGAATTACAATGATGAAATAAATGAACCCTTTTCTTATAAGAATAGGATGGGAAGTGATAGTGGATAGAGGAGGGGACACATAAGAGAGGGAAATATTTTTCTGTGCTTCTCCTCCTCCACTGATTAAATGAAGGCAACACATCTGCAATTACGGATGTCTAAGGGCAGCGGACGCTTCGCCATTTCGGCTAATTCAAGTGCCGCTTGCTCGTTTGCTACCTTATAATATAAAGAAAAATAATATAAATATCTTAGTGACAATTAAATGATTAGTAAATATAAGATGTGTTTAATGTGTATTTGTTGTCTGTGTCAGGGCGAACTTGGAGAGCCTGGAGGGTCTGTCGGGTGCGGGGGGTGCGGCGGGCTCGGCGGGTGCTGGGGGCGCAGGTGGTGCAGGGGGTGCGGGGGGCGGGCAGGAGCGCGTGGTGCGCGCGTTCGCGGAGTTGGCGCGCAACCTGCAGCGCATGCGGCCCTGCGTGCGCCCCGCCATGTGCAAGCCCTACGGCAAGCAGAGCGAGCAGCTGCAAAAGAGTTAGTTCCAAACTGTCTATCTAAAATGTTAAATAAATTTTTCATGTGTTTGTCCTTTAAGTACACTACACTAGTGGTCTTCCGCGACTCCGTCCGCGCAGAATTATTAGAAAAAACTTAATAAGTATACGTTCTTACGAGACTATGTTCGACATCTATGTTAAATTACAGCGAGATCTGTTGAACCGCTCCGAAGATACCTTTAAACAAATATCCATCCATCTAAAAATTCGCATTTATAATATTAGTAAGATTTGAAATATTGCCATGCCTCGCATAATTTAATATCACAGAAATAGCATTAAGATTTTAATTGGTGTTAACATAGTATTGTTGTATGTGGCAGTCCTGCTGGACACTATCCAGCTGGTGCAGTCGCTGCGCAGCTACCTGCCGCCGCCGCACATACAGGTCACCTCATGGAAGAACGACGACAAGCTGCGGTAACACGGATTTATGTTGTAACTAGCTGTCGCGCGCGAATCCCTCCGCGCGGAATTAAGGAATAACCTATGTGTTCTTCCAGACTATGTTCTGCATCTATGCTAAATTTCATCAAGATCCGTTAAGCCGTTCAGGAGATACCCTCTATCAAAAATCCATCTCTTCATCCATACATGCATTCCAACATTCGCATATTAGTAAGATTAGTAACCTTAATAAAATGGGCCATTTGTCCACGATCCAATACCTCATGTAGCCAGTAAAGTATTTTTGGTATTCTACATTCTTATAGTAATTTTCAAATGAATTTTTCAATTTCCAGTTCTAATAATATGGAGGAGCTGGAGAGCCGTAAGATCGTGAGCGGCAACTAGCCCGCGGAGCACGCCGCGGCGGACTCGTAAGCTGTCGCCTGACACCTGTCACATGTCACCCGACATCTGTCACCTGTCGTCTGACACCTGTCACTTGTCGCCCAAGCGTAACATACAATGCAAAGTGATGTTTTCTAGTAACTTTCATTATAATTTTAATACGGTGGCAGAGTATACAATAATGTGTATGAAACAGTACTATTGGGTTATATTCGTGCAATTTTTTCTATATATATTTGTATGTTTTTGGAGATATCTTGCTCCGGCACAAACTAAATGATTTGTTTATATATTTATCCTGTTTAGTTGTTCGCGATTGTCTATGCTTTCTTGTTGATTTTTTTTATTTAGGATGTAAAAACTATCGGTTGATGATCTGAATTCAGTTTTATATTATTTATCGTTATATACAGTTTACATATGCTTTTCTATTGCTTTTATTATGGAAAGTAATATCATTTATATGTAATTTGTGTAATGATCCTAGTTATTGTAACAGTTTACTATCGTAAGTGCATTATTTACACTGTGATAGAGGTGTAATAGGTAGATTGTAGGAGCAAATTCTTGACAAATATTATCTATTATTTCTTCTTAACTTTTGCTACTTAAATATATCGTTTGAATATTTTCAATCACGCGTGACAGGTCGCTAATAAAATGAAGATCTTAATTTGTTTTAATTAAAAAGTATAAAGAATCAGTCTTGTACTGAATTTTATATATGAACTTTGTACAGTCAGGAGCTTTCGCGGTGCTTCACTTTCAGAGAAATTGCCCTAACAAAATAACCAATGAGTTTCGCAAATAATGGCATAAAAGTAAAAAGCAATTAGTTGTGTACAACTTACCAATTTCTTTTCAATGCTTACGAAACGATCTAACGGCTGTCGGTTTTAAAGTGAAATACCGCGAGTTTCCCCGATTGTACATTGTCATAATTTTAAATATTCCGAATAAGGTATTCCTTCTGTTCAGCATTGGTTAAGCAGTTTGAGGTCGGGCATTTTTGAGTGAAAAGAAAGTAATGTGACTTAACATAGATGTTAAGATTTAAGAGTCTAGAAAAGAAATTTGTTTATAGTGCGACAAACTTATCTGACCCGCTAAGAGGCGGTGCTATCGCGGTTATATATGTAAAAAATATTACAGTACAATAAGTATTCTATGACACTTTTTTGACATTCATACTAGTGTTAGTGAACTATTATCGACGAACTGTTGATGGACAACGATTTCTGACCCGGTGGATCGAACTAAATGATGCTCACTAGCGCCACCTTGTCGATGTCAAAAAGTATAAGTTCCTTGTTGTATTGTATTTTAATGGCATTTTTTTACCTAAGTAGGTTTTATATATGCAATGACAGAACTAACCGCGGTAGCAGCGCCACTAATGGCCACCGGGTCAAATAAGTTTGTCGTTGTCTATGGGGTTGTAATGGCCGCGTCTTGTCATGAGGAATAAAATAAGGAAGAAATGTTAAAGAAGACTGCAAGTTTTTGGTCGTAGATGTTTGTGAATAGTGTTAGGTACTGCGCGTGCAAACGATGGTCTCTTATATACGTATTTAAATTATTAATTAGCATACTGTAAAATTACATTTACAATAGATTTTTCGTCCGCAGTTTTCGTAGCTACGTGTTTTTTTTATAGAAACTGTTTCTGTATTTGAAATGTTTATATTTTATAATAATAATTTAGTTTGTATTTCACACAATCTGCATTCATAATTTTTGGAAGGCTATAATTGGCTTGTGTACTAAGTGAACGATTCGGATGATATTGATTTTCTGGTGATTTTACAAAGATGAAAAAAACTACAGTAATTATTAAAATAATTTAAGATTAATTATATTTTTAGAAATTTATATCATCCGAATTTGACATAACGATGATATCAAACACTAAACAAAAAAGCAAGATGACACGCAATAGACAAAATCATTGTCAGTATTGATATTTTCATAGTTCAAAATTCAGTACTACAACAACACACAGAGACATGATGCTACTCTACAACACGTCGTGACGCGTCGTGACGTCACTGAAGACGCCATGATAGGTTATCATGTTTTCGCGGCAAAAAATTTTCAATCGTATTTTTGTTTTATATTTTTTTTAAATAAATCGTCCATTGCTTTACAGAATAAAACCTCTTTCGAAATGTTGGTACACAAGCCTATTGCGTTGTATATTTGCGGACTAAACTTTGTTACGTACAGTGTACACTGCTTCCACATCAATATTAAAAGGAAACGTCTTCACAACTATTTTAGTGCAATAATTATTAGGCAAAGCCTATTTATGTTTAAAATTTTGTAACTTAGTACAGTAATTCTAAATTAATATACGGATGTGGTAAGATTAAATTAGGATTAGCTTTTATGGGATATTGTTGTATTGCATCACATTTTATTTTATTTTTGTCGTTAGTTTACATAAGCGACGTTTAATTATATACATAGAGTAAATATGTAATGGCAGTTATATGTTTTTCAATAAGGTGATGAGGCTTTCTCTTTTCAGAAAACATCACGTAGCTTAAGTCGGTATTCGTTATCTCTCAAAAAGTATTAAAATTTTTCTAAAAGAATCTCTATATCTGTATTAGGATTAAGATTTCTAGTCAAAAATGGATTTCATATTTTATTATGCGTTTCGAAATTGTATTTTTTTTTAAATTTAACGGAACATTGTCCACGAACTGATCTTAGACGTTAAAGGTTACATCACACTTGTCGCTAGAGCTAAGTGCGCATCGTTTATTTTAAAATTATCTGTGGTATTTTGGGAGGAAATAACATTAAAACAATTAAAAGAACTAAGTTTGGTTATCACCATAAAATTGAGTTTTTAACAACGCAGCTGGTCTGTGTAATACTAATTACTTTCTGTATGTTTTCACTTTTAAAAAGTTTGTATAAAGACATATTGTGATGCCTCAAGGTTAAAGTTAACTCGGCTGTTAATATTTGACGATAGTAAAAGTATTTCCCGTGCGCACTTAGTTAAATGCGTTATCGATTGTATAAAATTAGAATAAGGACTTTTGTGACACTGACATTTGTTCTGTGGATTTGTACTGCCCATTACAGTGCGTCAAGCTCACCTGGCTCGATAAGAAGGCTGTTAGTTGTAAAAAATATGTAATAGGTGGATACAACATAAAATACATGAGAAGACAGATATAGTTTACACCTAAAAGGCTATCTAACCTCTGTTAACATCAAAAAAGAGTCGTAAGATCCTTTTTGTCCTTTTCTATGCCCATATAAATTTTACACATTTTCTGATAGGATTAACCGCAGGTCTCCCACCTCAAGTAGCCATGTTTGACTATACAACAAGAAACTTGTGACTTTTGACATTGGCTGGGGGGCGCTAGTGTGCAGTCATTTTGACTTACGATGACAATGTTTTGATATAAATTGTTTTGGGCAGTGCAAATACATGGTAATATTTTTTTTGTTATTTTGGATACATCTCACTGATTTAAATTATATTTCTTGCTACTTTGTTTCATTTACACTTTGTTGTGACACTAAATGATTTTCGGATTTGTTTAAGATAATTAGATCTATATTACTTTGGATGAGACTTACTTTATTTGTTTCGACTGTAATAATGAGTATTTACTTGTATACAGATTATCTGTAAGGAAATTATTTGTATGTATGATTTAGAATGTTTTTTTTGGCCTTGCCATGTAATTTATTTTTGCCGAAATTATATTTAACTTTAAAAAAGTATAGTGACTTGAAAACAGTGCTTAGAATAAATAAATATATCGAAAACCCTATATTTGTTTTATTGAAATGTCGATTTCGGGATGCAGAATTACATCAGAGACCTCTATATCTGGTCAGGCTACAAGTCGTGGTGTTTTGTGCCTATTTGATTAGGCAAATGTATGTTTTTTGTTTGATTGGTGAACTTTAGTTCAAGGGTTCTATACATTGATTGCAAGTTCATCTATAATCATTTATCTTTCTTTCATTATTATGTAGTTACGTTATTTAAAAGTTTTACTTATTATAGTATGTTTTAACTGCATTGAACTTTGATTTATACTTTTTGCTATCCCTTTAATTATCTCCTTCTTAATTGTGTTATAATAAAGAGACAATATGTTTTGAATCACATTTTATTACATACAAATAGTATACAAATTCTAAAATCTAATTATATAGAAAACAATGAGATTAAAACAAATAAATAGTTTTAGTATAAATGCTATATTTTTGTTTAATATCATATTTGAACTAATTTCTTAAATTAGATAAAATATATTACATAATACCTTTAAAAATTAACATAAATTGATGAAACATTCTGAAGGGCAGTGATCAAATACATTTCAAAATATTTGGTATATAAATATAGTATATAATTTTAAACTGTCACATAAAATTTGATCTAAGTTAGCGAACTAACCGAGTTTCTAAGTTCTGTGGTTTCTGAGGGGTTAGACAAAGTGCATTCGTTTCTAAGCGATTTTATACTGAACTTCAAAATTGTATAGAATTGACGCGCGACAATCACGTGACTTATCTAAAGTTAGTCGATTCTATACGTTTTTGAAGTACGTTATGGAATCGTTTCGTAGCGAATGCACTTTGTCCAATTCCGCTGACACCAAAATATATGTTTGAAACATATTGTCATCTCTGCTTAGTCAAAGTTAATGACAGGGATGACGATATGTTTTATACAGAGATTTTAGCCTCAGAAACCAACGGTTAGTTACACTTATCTATTTGTCATGGCTTACAGTAAAGTACGTTATTATTTATTACACTTAAGGTCTGTTTCACGATGTCGAAGTTAGTCCTAAATATGTTACTTGGAACTTATTTGTCAAATAAACTCTCAAAGCTAGATATTTTGACGGGAAGTCTTATTTATATGTTGGTTAATATATTTTTAGTTAGTTATCCAGCATTCTACTTGGACATTGTGAAACTATGCCATAAAAAGTTACATAGTTCCTTTCACATCTACACACACGTATAATTTTAAATTTGTTATATACCTTTGAAAAAACTTATCAGTAACCGGAATGATTAAGTACATTATAAACATATTTTTTTTATCATCATCGTACATTCATTATTTTTATATCTCAAAGATTAAAAGATAAAATAGCAAAAAATCGAAAGTATCGCTTATTAACTAATGGAATATCAAATTGCAACAACAAAGTTTGTGCTAAAGCGTTCAAATGTTTAAAATTTGACTACATAATTAGTTCCATTTAAAATAGACATAAATTCGTAGCGTTTTAGGAACAAGTAGCATTTCTTAATGCATTAAGAACAATATAAAAAAAGTAATTCGATGTGATTCAAGCGATGTTTAAAATTCAACTAAAATTAATTAAACGTAATGAAAAATCTAATTTCATTGTTACATTGGCGTTGCCAAACAAAAGCATTCATCAGAACACTCTGTAGGTCAGGTCTTATATTAATGAATTAGTGCTTTAAAAAATTAGAAACTTTTTTGGGAAACCGTGTATGGCTTTGATGATAAACTGTAGACATAGAGTCGGATACGGAAACTGAATTAGAACTTAATTTTAATTACAAATAACCTATCGTAGTAAATGCAACTAAATAAATCATTGTGTTCCTCCAAAATACCGCAAAAGGTCAAAAATTTAGTCGATGACGATCGATGTCAATTCACATAATATCGAAACAAGCTCACGATTTAATATCAATGGGTTTGAAGACGTATACGGAGTCATCGAGCCAGTAGTAGGCCTGGGCGAAGTCGCCCTCGCACAGGTAGGGCGCGCGGCTCCACGCACTCAGCTCGAACCCCATCTCCCGCATGAAGCTCACGAACGAACTCACCTGCTCCTCAAACGTCACGCCGGTAATGGGCAAGCGCTCCGTTGGCTTGTGGTCCGGGGTTACTGAAATTGGAAAGTATAAACGATGCACGAACTAACTACATCTGCCCTTTAAGACGTAATGTCGTGGAGAATATAAAGGTAGTCGATAGTTAGTAGAGATAGTTTTTATTATTAAACTAATATTGATTGTATTGTGCCGTACCTTCTACGTAGGGCTTGTAAGGCAGGACTAGGGCGAGCAGCAGGACGCCGTGCGATGCGAGGGCGGCGCGCGCCTGACGCAGCATGCCGCGCGGCGCTGCGCACCTGTCCAGCAGGTTCAGCATGCATACGCACTCGAACTCACCCCCTTCACACCACGACTCCGTATCGAGCAACCTGAGCACACCTTCGCATTAGAACCCGTGAACCCTGGCTGCTTGGCTAGTTTTGCATATAAAATGTAGAGTTTATCCAGTAACTCACGTGTATCCTTTAGTCTTGAGCGCCTTGCGCATGCAGGAGGATATCTCAGTGGCGAGCTTGTCGTCGTAGAGGTGCGCGAAGCGGCGGCTCACCTCGCCGTCGCCGGCGCCCACGTCCACCAGTCGACCGCCGACACGGGCTCCCGCCGCACCCAGCAGCCGCCGCGCCTGCGCACCGGACAGCACGAACATCGAGCCGCGTCCCAGCCATCTGCACATGGTGTGTGTCAGTTCATCAACTGCCGGTCGATACTACCGCAGTGTTTCGGCTTCTAATTTGGGAAGAAAAGATAACGAGAAGACGGTACAACGACTTAACTACGTGACTATAATTCTAAAGTTGTGTTATTACAACTTGGTCTATAATTAGTAGTTACATGTTCTAATTTAAAAGTAAACTCGGTCGCAAGCAATTCGCGAGGCGAGCGCCGTGAGTCCTAGCAACAATAGCGCAATTATCCGCCACCGAGCGTTGTATAGCGGCGGACTGGTGCGCAGCGCGGAGCTGCAATTACCAGGATACAGTACAAAGCGCGCCGGGGGCTACGGCGTGGCTTGGCTAGGGTAGGCTCGGATGGCGCGGGCGCGGCAAATTGCGACCGCCGCGACGTCTTCATCGCGCCTCGGGCCGCTGCTAAAGTGGATAATTGCAGGTGAGGCCGGCGCTCATTAAGGTAGGAGAGCGTCGCGCCGATCGTTCCGGCGCGAATTTGTCTTCGGCCGAAGGGATAATCGGCAGGAGTCGCGGACGCCATTAGCCGGCGCGGCATATATCACATGCGGCATTATCCGCTGCCTCCGGCGTCCACATTATGATATTCCACTGCGATCGCACTACGGCCCAATTACTTTATAAATCATTAATTTTTTTGTGTGCAGCAGTGTCTTAAGCAGGGCAACTTGACTACGTACAGCGTATACAACATTTTGATTTTTACTAGGCCCTACCTTTCCTATATTTACGTAGTAACCAAATTTCATCAAGATTCGCTTAGTAATTATAATGCAAAGGCTTTGCAAAAGGGTGTCATTGCACTTACATCATTATTCATTATATGATGTTGATGTCCGTTGGGTATGGTACTACCTCAGCACAGTAATTGACAGAGGTGAGAACGAGACTATTGGTATTGTTAAACGAGGTGTCCGCAAAGTCAGTTCGCTTGTGTCGGTGGTCGCGAATTGATTGCTTTATTGTTCGCGTGGCGGCGCTGGCGACGCGCCTTACATGATACATGAAGCGGATGCGTCCGCCTGTAATGAGCCTCGACACCACGTAATTGTCCAGCCGCCGCCGGTCGGAGGGATTGAGTTGACAAATAAAAGCCGTCAGCCCCTACTTCACGTCTTACGTGTTTGCCACTGTGTTTCAACATTTATTTATCAACCTCCCGGTTTTGAAAATTTCAATCGCATTAAGAAAAATGGACCTCGTCTTGGGAAGCAAGTTCGGAACGATATCGAGATGTGAAACGTGTTCTTTAAGCGGAGACGAAAATTGCGAGCAAAGGGCGTCGAGTGGTAAGTGATGCGGGTCGCGCCCGCGCTGCGTGGCGCCGTAGGTGGTTAGGCGGCGCGGAGTATCTATTTCAATAGGATGCGGTGGCTTGCAGCGAGGAATCCGATGCGGTTATCGAGTACGTAGGTAAGAGCCGGGCGGGGGTGAGCGGGGGCGGGGGCCAAGGCTCGTATCGCGATTGCATCGGAGAGCAAACAAGCGGGCGGGGTGTCGCCGGGCGCTCAAATCATATTACCCCCTGCCTCACACCCGCGCTGCGCCACACACGTCGCGAGCGCGCGTCTCCATAGCGACGGCCCGGCCCGTGCATGATATTAGTACGTGGGCTCATCTCCGGCCGTTTAAACTTTACGTCGTGATGGCGGCCGCGCGCGGGAAATTAAAATCGGCCCGTGCCGGAAGGCGCTCTGCCCCCGGCCGTCGCCGCAGGTTCTGCTCCTCGCCCTTGCCTACACTGCCTTATAAATATTCAAATAGTTTTCGACTCTCGATATTTGCACACAATTTCTTTATCATTTAGACAGGACTTACCTTTTGTCCTGCATATTCCAATCCAAAAGTAAACCGTCTATTACAAAACTAAACGCATTACAATTTCACTTGTGTGGAAAATGGACATAAACCTTTTAAGAAGTTAAGGTTTCCAGCTAGAGAAGCATGATCAGAATCGTAATTTAACGGATTGACTAAGCGATTCCAAAACTATTCTGGAGCGATTAAATTGCTTACACCGAAAAGATTATATATATGTCTCTCGTAAACAAAACCTGGTATAAGGTTTATTGTCCTAAAACTGGTATTCAGCTAATACAAACGCCGGTTTAACTATCTCATTTGAGAATATACATAATTTGGACTCACTTGTAATGAACAATCAGTATAATACTGACTTCCATGTAGTTACTAAATACATTGCATTAGTTTATACGCACACAAATAGACGATGATAATTGTAACAAAGATAAAGCATCAGACCATTACAAAAGGCATACGTACACTAGACGCCAGTCACATATAACTAAGTATGTGAACGGCGCTGTGGAGGAGGGACTCCACCCCCCGTATGTAGATACCTACACATTTGCTTTGCTCAAAGACATTGTCGCTTTCAGACACCTCATTAGAGCGTCCCATGTGAGCCTACCCCATCCCCCCTCCCGCAGCCACCCACCGCCCCCTCGCGTCCCCACACACAAAGGAGAGCGATTCTTTTCCTTAGCTCGCAAACTCTGCTGGATAATTACAGCTATGTACGTACGTAGGATCCCATTTCTTGCCTAATGTCTTTCTTGTCTCGATAAATTTTAGATACGTCGAATCCTTCGCTTTATTTATTTTTGTTTCGCTCTATTCGTTACATGTTCAAGATATTTTATAAGTTTTATTGTCACTGCAATTATTATTTTAAACAACAATATCAAACTCTCGATAAGTTGTGATTTTATTGGTACAACTATCTAAACGATTAACCAAATGAAATATGCCGTTGTTTTGAAAAGAAAGTTCGTTAACAAGTTAGAACGTTATTATAATGATTTACATTGTGTATTCAAAGATTGTTATCCTTTAGGATAGAACTTGAACCAAAAGGCTCAAGTCCGCCATTAGGCCGCAGTAAAAGTGAAGTTCGACGACTCATAATCTAACCGCTACACAAACTGTTACGTGTCATAAGGCCGCACGCCACTCGCCTAATAAACTATAAAAAAAATCCGGGGATAGTAAAACGTTATAAACAACGGGAGCGCGGCTAAAACGTTTTAGTGTTAAGAGTGGGCCCATAAAACGACGACACGCACCCCTGAAATATTAACGATACGCAACTACGAGAAGAAATGACGACAATCAATGTGCCGAGCGGTTCAGCTCGCGGACGCGCCACAAATAATGCCCGGGACGAATTTATACGTGGGCCCGAATTGCCCCGCCTGAATATTTTACTAGGCCACGAGCCAGTCCGACGATATTTTTCTATTTCGCCAACCATTTTACTATCAATTGCTTAGTTTCCGCTTTAATGTAATTCGCGCGACGATTCCGGCCGTTCGGTGCGGAATAAGGCAGGATTATCTACTAAATAGAATAAGTTCCCACAATTGTAATACGGTAACAGACTAGAGCACCACGTGGTCTGGTGTACTGCATGTGCTAAAGTGCAATGATTTTTTAAATTAATTGCTTACAATCTGAGAATTAGAATGATTTTCAATCATGCTCTAATTTTAACGATTTCAATATCAGCTTCTGTCAGATACTTTAAAACTTGATTAAATGTACATTAAACACCACAAAAAGAGGCAAACCATTTAATAAATTTCTGAGATATTTTATTGTTCAGTGGTTGTCGGGTGTCGCGTCAGTCTATTGTCTCGTATGCATTATGAAGCGGGCCTCGTGAAGTCCTCAATCGTCGTTGCCAGTTATTAAGTATAGCATTTCGGGAACACAATAACCTTTAAAAGGTGTAAAGGCGCGTCCCGGACGGAGTTTAAAATAGCTTCTCGGAGGCGGATGGTTTATGGCTTATTGACTGGGCTGACGAGTGCCGTGCGGGGGTTCGCAAGTCTCGAGCCGCGAGGATTCCCACTCGATATCTGCGGAGTGCTCGGCGACATTGGAATTATCGGTCGGTGGGAGGCGCGCCGGCGGTCGACGCGATGCTCTTAAAGTAAATGAAATAAGAATGGAGTGAAACAATGAGCATTGTCGGCGCACTTCGCTGCGGCCATTGGCCAGCGCGCGCTGGGCGGGGCGAGAGGTTGCGCGCGCGCACTCCGCACACGCGCACGAATTAAAACAATAAAACGAAACTAATAAAACAATGCAAGCGTCGAAGAGCGGCCGCTATCGCAGTTAATGGCCGAGCGACGCGTCGCCTCACCGATTTATTGAGAGCTTACATCCCACCCTGACTTGTCGACCTGATGATTCTATTTCCGTCACCACATTCTAAAGTATGCAGCGAGAATAAGAGAATCAACTCTTGCTTTCCTTTGTTCTAACAGATGCCCTTGAAATCTACTTTTCTTATCAATAATATTATTTACCTTGTTTTGCAGCGAGATAATAGTAAGACATATTTGGTATTCCTAACATTTTAAATTAAAAACTATACAGATTTTTAATAATATAAATGCGAATGTTTGTTTGAAGGTATCTCCGGAACGGCTGAACGGATTTTGATGAAATTTTCACACATGTAGAACATAGTCTGGAAGAACACATAAGCTTCTTACTATGTTTTTTGTTTATTCCGCGCGGACGGAGTCGCGGGCGACAGGTAATGGCTGATAAAATGTTTGGAAGAGTAGTACATACAATGCCGATTCTCTCGTAAAGGACATGGAGAGATTGATGAGGAATTTCGAATACGAAAATAAAAAATGATGTGAATTAAAAAGAAAAGGTATGTATTTCATGGATCATTCTTATAAAATCTTCTCAAACATAGACAATAAAAAGAAATTTTTAAGAAAACATCTAACGTGTCTATTAACTATCGATTCTGTAGTAACTCTTTGCAAGGCTTTCAAGGAAAACTACGCGGCGGCGCTCTGCACGCCCGTAACGAATGTAGTCTCATTTACTAATGTGTCACACACACGCGGTGTTGTTTCACGGGAGGGGTGGTGGTGTGGGAGGGGTGGCAGGTCGCCGGTATGGGGCGCGGAGAGGGGTAAGGGGGATGTCCA